AACTGCAGGATGTTTGTTAATCACACTGTCTGATTGTTGCAACGGTCCCCTGGTTCTCTTAGACTAAAATGTCATTCATGACTTAAAACTACCTCTCCAGTCCACACAGAACATTTTTGAAACTAGCCTGCAAAAACCTTGTTCAGAAATACTTATGTTAATAATTACAATTTTAAAAAAAATAATAATAATAAATAAATAAAATATAATAAAATAAAATAAAAATAAAATAATTTCATATGAATTCAAGTTGGAAAACAAGAAAATTATAAGGAATTTAAAATAAAATAAAAAGTTTAATTTGAATTCAACTTGTACACCAAGAAAATTATAAAGAGTCCAAATTCAAAGGTCCAACACATGAAACAGAATGAGTTCATTTCTAAACATCAGTATAGATCATTCAGACACTTTTAGGACAGAAGAAACAATGTGTCTTTATCAGTCAGTCAAACAGTCACTGGTTACTCACATGACACGTCACGTCCTCAGGCGACTGACCTCTGCTTTAGATGACCTGCAGTCTGAAGAGGCTCACAGCATCATGGACATAAAGAGACACATTTTCTACTTATCGCCTCCGTCACACACACACACTAAATCCTTGGTTCACAGTGGTCAGATCAGCAGACAGACAGAGCCTGAGGGGCAACTTGAGGCACACACACACACACAATAATTTGACCTATATTATCTGGGACAAAAGGGGACATGACATTCAGTGTGTAAAGCTGATATAAATTCAATTCAGGTTATTCATAAAAATAGTGTTAATATGAGTGAGAGAGAGAGAAAGAGACATATAAGCATATTAAATCCATCAGTGAACACTAACTCATCAGTCTTAATATCTGTTCAATACACACTACCATTCAAAAGTTGGTGGCAGTAAGATGTATTTGAAAGAAGTTTCTTCTGCTTACTAAGGATCAAATAATAGTTTAAAGTAACTGTTTTCTATGTGAATATATTTTCAAATGTAATTCATTCCTGTGAGTCATAGCTGAATTTTCAGCATCATTACTCCAGTCTTCAGTCACTTGTTTCTTCAGAAATCATTCTAATATACTGATTTGCTGCTCAAGAAACAATCCTGATTATCAATGTTGAAAACAGTTGTGCTACTTCATATTTTTGAGAAAACTGTCACACTTTTTTTCAGGATTCTCTGATGAATAGAAAGTTCAAAAGAACAGCATTTATTTGAAATTGAAATCTTCTGTAACATCAATATAAATGTCTTTGATGTCACATTTAATCAATTTCAATGCTCCTTTGTTGACAAAAATATATATTATTCTTAAAAATTAAAAAACTGACCTCAAGCTATATATAGACTTGTCCCGTTCAGAAGAGTAATTTCACTTTTAAGTCAACATGAATTTACAATGCATCCATCAATTCCCCCATGGACAAAATCATCTTTCTTCCTGTAAAAAGAAAGGAGGTCATCATTGAGGACATCTAACTAATGGGAGAGATGTTCTCTTTCTCTCTGAAGAGCATCAGGACTGATTGAGGTCAGTTTGTTATGTTCAGATCAGCTGTAATTAAAACTGTCTCTCATCAGCATCATCATCACAGTAATGAAAGAGAAGATCAAGGCATCAAGACTGGATGATCTTTAGACTTTAAATGAAAACAAGGCTGTGAGAGATGATTCATTTTCATGTCTAGTTTCTTGTATGTTGCCTTTTTGTTTCATTGGCTGAATAATTGAAGTCCAGCATTTGAACAGACTGTCTATTGCTCTCACCTTGTTTTCATGTTTGTCAAATTAAATATGCCATCTGCTTTGCCTGAGGCTGCGCCCACATTAATCCAAATATGTTTGAAAACACATCTTTTTCTCTGCATTTCGGCCTTTTGTCCACACTGAGACAATTAAAATGAAGATTTTTGAATTTCCAAAAAATCCCAAGTGGATAAACTTAGAATTTTTTTGTGGGCTGAATAGGGAGGTATTTGAAAACAATGACACGTTTAATCATGTGACATGATATTGTATCTAGATATCAACTGGCATTGTTGTGCCTGCTATTCATGTTCATAGTTGCTTTGTACAATCTTTCTAAAAATTAGAAAGTAAATTTACTTAATTTAATAGACAGAAAATGTACTTGCAGTTGCGTTTTTAGACCATATATGCAATGCCGATTTTAAAGAATAACCTAGAGCAACCAGTGAGTGGTGGGGTATTTTGCTAATAAAATCATTGTGCCAGAAAACTTTTGTGAAAAGTATATTTCATATGGTGCCGCTATCATCTCATTGACCTTTTTTTATGTCTTACACATGCTCAGGATGACTGAAGCATTTTTAGATGTTTCAGTGTGGACGAGCAACTCTCTCAAAAACTTGGGAGGAAAATGCTAGTGTGGATGGAGAAAAAACATTTTCAAATATATCTGGCTTAATGTATATGTACCCAAGTATAATTTATCAACATACATCAGGTAGTTTTCTGCCAGTATCACTTTAGACCTGTTTATGAGACAAAACCAAACCCATCAGACCTTTAAAAGAGCTCAAAGCTCCAGCAGTGAGAGTTTAGAAACACTTTCAGCATGACTTACTCCAAACCCACCTTTTTTTATAACTTTCTCTGTTTTCCATCGCTGTCTCTTATCCGTCCTCTTTGGTCTCCCTGTACAGAGAGACTTCATGTTTTGGAAAAATTTTGTGTAAAATATTTTAAAGGTCTTTGAAACTGACAGTGAAATTTGCTAAGAGAGAGGAAAAGAGGTCAGAACATTCGCTGAGAGCCCTATCTACTTGTTATATTTTGGGTTGTTTGGTCCAAATTCACTGCCAAATTCTTTAATGAAGAGACTGAATTAGCCGTCCATCCTTCACTCTCTCTGACTCCGCCCTCCACATACAGCCACATACATACTCTCCAACATTCACTCGCTACCTGGAGACCACCGTGACACTGGGCCAGCCAATCAGCTGCCTGAGAACTCAGCTCCTACCTTCTGATTGGCCGGCTGCAGCATCATTGCAGCCGTCTGCAATAACTTGAGCCAATTACTGGCCAAGAGTCTGTCCTGAAGAACACAAACAACCAGATAATGAAGCAAAGCAGAGGGTGAAATATAACCAGAGCTGTGTAACGAGAAACAGTGCTGAAGGGAACCAGACATTAAGAGTGTGTTCTGATATTCTGAAGAGGATCTATAATGAGAAACACACAAAGAAACAGCTTATATTTCTCATTGTTTTATGCTGAAACAATGTGATTAAATGAAAGCAAATATGCAGTCAACACACACACCACATCATGAACAAAAGAACCCTGAGCTGCTTATCTTTTTTTTTTTAAATCAATTCATCGTGTTTCATCGCTTTTTCTTTTCCTGTCTTTCACTTAACTTTCTTACTATTGAAAATAACAATAGACAACAATCTCTCTACTCTGAAGAAAAAAATAGTATAGAAACAATTTTCATTAAGAAATTGCTAGTAAACAAGCAATAACAAAAAGATGGCAAGTAACACATTTAAAGTTAATATGACAATGAACAATACTTCAACAGCAAGTTTTAGTAATTTCAATACTTTATTATATTTCAGTAAGTTGCCAAAGTAACATTTACAATTTTAAGTTTTTAATCTGTTTACATTTTAATTCAGATTTATTTCATTTAACTATTTTTAATAGTTTTACTTTTACTTAACAACACTGATGCAAATCCTGCAATGTGATAGTAGGGTGGAATAATGTGGAGAGCTGCTGTTTTATGAACTCCCACAGGAGTCAGAGGTAAAGCTTTAATAAAACTCTGCCGCAAAGGCAAAAACATGAAACATTAACACACGCCTCAACACACATCCATTCAACAGCACGCACACGCACACACACACACACACACACACACACAAAGGCTCTGGAGCTCTAAAGATGCAAACAGAGGCATCAGAAGATGAGTGTCAAACTCTGCCTGACAGGTGCCACATCAAACACTATTAAACAGCTGTAACTCACAAAACATCATTGACCATTATTACTGGTCATATATAGGGTTAGTGATTTGAACAAACCCTTGTATGAACAATAATAATAGTGTTGCATGTACAACAAAACAAAACAAAAAAAACATGCTGTCAGTAGTCTGTGAGAGTGAAATACATCTGGCATGAGCTGCTTTTATTTCCACAATCTGTGGATGAGTCTGATTCTATTCTTGGAGGAATAATCACCGTGGTTACAGGGAATGGAGGGATTCCAAAGCAAACATTCCACTACCTCCCGACTCCTCGTCTCTTAGAACATCTCTTAAAAAAAACCCACATACTGTACCACGGAGAAAGACAGACGGACCCTCACAGCACATGCCAGAAACAGCTAAACCAATTAACCCATGTGCAAAACAACTCACAAACAGGAAATAAGACTTTGTGGGACCTGCATGCTTTGTGTGTTGAATGTAGGAGGCATTTCTCCCTGTGTCTGTATGAGTTGTAACAGAGAAGTGTGTGTGAGTGTGTGTTAGTCTGGGATTTGCTGAGAGGAAATTCCAAATCATAGCTGCATTTTTTTCCACACTCATGAGACATAAATCCAGCGCACAGATGCACACACAGGAATGTCAAATAAATGCTGTACCCCTCATACCAAATTATACACACACAAGACATGTTCCATAAACGTTACCACACATTTGTGTTTTGTACAGTCATGTTGACTCTGTGCATGTTATCTATTATACACATCTGTAAGGCACTAACAAAAAAAGTCCTAAAAATACCATAGTATTATGTGTTTCTAGAAAAGTGCACAATGGCAATAATATGGTTTTGGAAATCTATTATGGTATTCAGTGAAATAAAACTGCCTTCAATTTAAATCAATTGTAAATGGATGTCACATTAAAGGAATAGTTGAGCCAAAAATGAAAATGGATCATGGTCATGTGGATTACTTGTGGGTTATTGTGATGTTTTTATCAGCTGTTTGGACTCTCATTCTGACGGCACCTATTCACTGCACAACATTTAAGGTTCATTACATTAAAATTGAAAATATTTCCTCTTTTGACATGTTGAACTTTTACGGAAACATCAGATGGAACAACAGGAACAGCTTAGTGCTTTCCCTTATCCGTATCCAGCTATTTAGACATTAACAGTTTGTTTTTGAAGGACTGGACTCTTGCTGAGCACTGGGGGTCAAGACCAATAAACACCTTTTGAATCATTTCAAAGGTGTACTTGAGTTCTTTAGGATAGTTCATGTTCAGGGCATAAATCAAGCCAAAGAGAAGAGCCATAGCAGTTGGAAGGTCTTGCACATTATCCAGCACGATATGCTCCTCTAGAACCACAGACAGGCACCTTACATTTGGGTTTGAGTGGATGGTCGCAACGTCATCTTCAACGATGGTTAAGATCCCCATCTTTATTCCCTTTTGTATGATTTTCTTCTGGCTCTGTGTCCTGCAGTAAAAAGCAGCATAAAACAAGGTCAAAAGCCATTTTTTATTTGAATTCTGCAACTGCATTCAGACAGTAAGGGCGAAAAACACAAGGGTAAGTAAATCATTTCATTTGTTGTTTATATTTTCTATATTAATTTTCTGGTGTATTTCAGATTAACCTCACTTACCCTTGGTTTTTCCTACATTACTGCTTAATCTTATGATTGTGTTGTGTGCTGTATTCTTTTCACTGGTTGGAGATCAGATGGAATGTCTCCATCTCAAGGTTTTCAATGTCTCAGGACAGTGTTTTGCAGCAGTAATTAACTATTATCTTTGCTTTAGAATACTTTGAATTGTGTTTTCAGATGAAATCAGAAATCCAAACTCAAATGAATAAACTAATTTTACCATCACTTTGTCTCCTATGTCATGGCAGATAGCAGAGTTAATGGATTAGTTTTGGATTCCAGACAAAACTGTTACCCCCTGATAGGATCTGGAGATGGATTTGAAGTATAAATATATGTGCTGATAAATCATCTTACCAGGCAAGTCCTCAGGAAATGTTCAGACTTTTCCCTCATAAACAAAGGTAGACCTTTGAGAGCTGTAGCCTTTCTATGAGCAAGCACATCAGAGGTCTGAGAGACGACGAAAGACAAACATGGAAAAAATGATATGCATCGATATGGAATATGGAAAAATGATGGAAAAATGGGAAAAAAATGTTATGCATCACGTGTTTAGATTGATTCAAATTCCTATATTACCTACGTTACACACTAAAAGAAAGTCAACCCAACAAATCATAATAGGTTCCCCTTAACGAGAGATATAGAAACACAATCTAAATAATTACCTGATTATCAAGTTGGTCTAGGAGGGTCTTCATATTATCTCCATATGCTCCGCCGCGTACCCTATACAACTTGATCATCCACGGTGTACATTCATCCAGAGAAGAGAAAAATGGTTATCTGACATCTATTGATTAATAACAGAATTCTGTACCGAATCTGAATGATTCTTACTAACGTAGATCTCGCAGCGATATTGATAATTCTGCTGTGGATTCCCTTCTTCACCGGATCCAATTGGACTGTGCTGTGGTCTGACCAACGTGACTTATAATAAAATCTTCCCATCTTTCATATTCGTTTGAAGCCAAAATCAAAAATAGATTACGATTAAACTCGCTACTTTAACGAGAATACTACGCAAGTTAGACAAAATCAAAGTGAACATTAATGGACGAAACTGACACGTCTACAACACATAATCCACTTCTGTAGTCTAACCGTGTATTTTGATGCACATCTTGTTAGCAGCTGAACTAACGCTATGCAGATGCGAACTCGCTGTCTGGGCTCGTTTTAAAATAAAACCAAGTGCTTCAGACCGAGTTTTGACTTGTAGGAACATTTCATTGCACTTTACATTTTATGTGTGCAGTTTATTTTCAATAATAATCTTAAAGGTCCCATGACATGCTGCTTTTTGGATGCTTTTATATAGGCCTAAGTGGTCCCTAGTACTGTATCTGAAGTCTCTTTCCCGAAATTCAGCCTTGGTGCAGAATTTCAGCCACTAGAGCCAGTCCCACAATGAGCTTTCCTTAGGACGTGCCATTTCTGTGTCTGTAGCTTTAAATGCTAATGAGGAGGAGAGAGGCGGGGCAACTGCCATGCTTCGCTCGTTTGCAAGCCACGATGTCTCTCGAGGAAAAAAAAATATTGCTCGCCTCGCACGGTAGTAGCTCATTTTCTCATGGGCGGGCCAAATTGTCTGGGCGGTCAAAGCAGAGAAAGGGGAGGTAACCTTTCCCCGTATGACGACATAAAGGGAAGATTCCAGATTGGGCCATCTGAGCTTTCATTTTCTCAAAGGCGAAGCAGGAAACCCAGGGCTCGGTTTACACCTATCGCCATTTCTAGCCACTGGGGGACCATAGGCAGGCTAGGGGAACTCATATTAATGTTAAAAAACCTCACAAAGTGACATTTTCATGCCATGGGACCTTTAAAATAAAGCTTCCCTCAAGTCCTCAACCAGGCGAAATCCAGTCCCTTTGATGGCGTGTCTGGAAGAGGAAACCCCGTGCAAAATACCGCGAAGAGAGACCACGCATGCGCAATAACAGGAAGTTTAACGGTCAAACCATGAAATCAAAATATTACGTTGTCTCAACTTATGTACTTACATTCACTCAACAAAGCAGTAATAAACATGCAGTTAAATCGTTTTTATAAGTAAACTCAACAATGTGCTCCAAAATTTGTCCACTTGATTTACAATTTTAAACTGAGTTAACAATTTGCAAGTTGGATTTTTTTACAGTGCAGCACTGGGTTGTATTGAGAAAACTGAGCAAACTTTCAGCAAATGTTCATTTTTTTTTTTGTATTTTGAAAAGTTGTGAATACAATTTTGCATAAGCAAATGGTAAGTTTAACCCTAAAATACACCTTTTGTAATTTTTAGATTTATGTGGGCATTTCCAGAAATTCTGTCCCTCCAAGGATAGCAAAACCTGTCAACACACACACACAACTTTAACGAGAATACTACGTAAGTTAGACAAAATCAAAGTGAACATTAATGAACGAAATTGACACGTCTACAACACATAATCCACTTCTGTACAGTCTAACCGTGTATTTTGATGCACATCTTGTTAGCAGCTGAACTAACGCTATGCAGATGCGAACTCGCTGTCTGGGCTCGTTTTAAAATAAAACCAAGTGCTTCAGACCGAGTTTTGACTTGTAGGAACATTTCATTGCACTTTACATTTTATGTGTGCAGTTTATTTTCAATAATAATCTTAAAATAAAGCTTACCTCAAATCCTCAACCAGGCGAAATCCAGTCCCTTTGATGGCGTGGCTGGAAGAGGAAACCCCGTGCAAAATACCGCGAAGAGAGACCACGCATGCGCAATAACAGGAAGTTTAACGGTCAAACCATGGAATCAAAATATTACGTTGTCTCAACTTATGTACTGACATTCACTCAACAAAGCAGTAATAAACATGCAGTTAAATCGTTTTTATAAGTAAACTCAACAATGTGCTCCAAAATTTGTCCACTTGACTTACAATTTTAAACACACAAACCCACACACACACACACAAACACACACACACAAACACACACACACACACACAAACACAAACACAAACACAAAATGCATATGGAATAAGTATTAAAGATGATATTTTAATGGTGTGGTTTTAGAGATAACCAGAATAAACATCTCTCCGGTCAAAACGCAAAATACACAATTTGACCAAATGGATCTCACCAATACAATCGCTATATTATTACAATAAAACAATCAAGAATAAAAATTGATGAGGAAAAACTGTTAAAAAAAAGAGAAAGAAAACACACAGTCTCTTTGTTTTTCCAGTGATCTTTTTCCAGCTTTTCCAAAAAAAGTGAAACCGTTGACTTTCACAACCATCTGTGCAATCAATCGGCATTGAAGCAGAATCTGTTGGCTCGCAGTTCTCCAAAATTGCAGTCCACAAAAATAAAAAGGTCAAAAATTGGAAATTTGGCTTCAAAAACTCCAGAAAAAAACTCTTTCAGACTTGCTGGTTTCTAGGCAGACTTTAGAGACCTGATCACTGCCAAAACATTAACATCGTTTTACAAACATTACATAAATGCATATATATTTTAATATAGTTTAATCCGGAAGACGATTTCTCAGGATTTCTTGACAAATACAGTCCGAGCTATGGCTTTAAACAGTGATCTCTACCCTCAAACATTCAGCCAACTTCAACATTCAGGTAAGTCATATTGCAAAGCTGAAACTCTGAGGTTTATTTCATATTTCTCGGTGTCACTGACACAAACTGAGTTTATGACTCAAGAACAATCTTAACAGTCGACTGGTTAAACAGTATCTGCTGGTGATCAGTCTACATAAAAGACAGGGACATTTGCTCACCGTCTTCTGAAGACTGCAATGAAAAATACTAAAGTTGAATAAGTCTATGTGCAGCTTTTAACAGATATTTCAGCACCAACGATAGAAGTGCTCTGCTACAGTCCTTCGGATTTGGCTTGATCAAACCGTTTATCATTGAGAAATAAATGCCAGGAGTTGTCAATGTTACTTTTGCCCTCAAAATAGATATTTCGCAGTTCACAGTGACCTTTTACTCACTGTCTAGCAGTAAATTAAAAATGATTTATTTTGCAATGGCGAAACGCCACTGAAAATTGTGTGGTGTACGTATCAGCAGTTTGGATCTTCAGTGTGCAGAAAACAGTATATCAACGACAGCACTTCACAAACACGACGGACATTTCTGGAAAGACAAAACTGACCACTGCTGTTCATAAAACAGATTCTATGAAAAATAAGAAAGTGAAGCAACCCACACGCAAATTATTCATAAAACCTCTGTGAATTGCGAATGTTTTATCAATTCTATCCAAAACCATTTTTGCATAAATTGTCACATTTAATTCCATGCAATGATTTATACAAGAATGGCTTATGAATGACTTGAATGAATGAGGCTCAATGATTGTAGCTAGTGAAAATTACAAGTATTTTTGAGATTTAAACAACATCATTCACTTAAAATGACAGAATGAAGTACCCAGAAACAGAAGAGCACAGGAAGAGAGAAATAATCTTGGGAACAGGTACCAGACCTCTTTTGTGATGGCTACAGAACCTCAGTGAGAACACCTCAAGCACACACTAATTGAACATGCATTTAAGGGGTCAACATATTGGCACGTTGCGTTTTGAATATAATAATGTAACCTATTTCAACTTTCAGCCACGTTTAAAAGTGGCTGAAACAAAAGTGACTTTTGTTTAAAAGTCGAAAACAAAACAAAAAAGCTAAACGTTAAAGCAGAACAGATGTTTGATTTCAGAAGGAACCAGAAGAGGATGTTCAGCTGAATTTGGAATGGAACAAAACGAAATCTCTATACAAATCTTTGGAATCTTGCAAAAGCAGTCGATAGAGATAACGGACAGATGAAACCTTGTGTTTAGAGAAAGAGTGCTAGAAAATGACAAAACGAGTGTGACAGTGCTGAGATGAGGCCACTCCTCCAGTGTGACGGCCAATAGGAAGCCGTGTGGGTTTACTCGAGGGGTGTGGTTTAGCGAGAGCCCCGCCCTCGCAGCCTTGGTCCCCAAGCACAGTCTGTCTTTTAACCGGCAGGATCAGCAGAGGAAGTCCTTAATTTGAGCGTAACGGAGCATCATCTAAGAGGTCCTCCAGCGAGCCCGTGTCCTCCTGAGACGACTCCTTCCTGTCTTCTGCTTCCAATCGGGTCTTTTTCGTGGCACTGGGCGGGGCGTTCTCTTGAAGAAGCTCTTTGGCGAGAATGTTTGTCACGGCGTGACCGGCTCCTCTCCGATTGTTGGCTGAAATGGAAGGGGAAATAATAAATTAAAGGGCAATTAAAAAGATATTCAGTTTCACGGAGGTCAAATGTCATATTTAAGGTCACTCTTTGAGGTCAGACACAGGTGTTAGAGTTCAAAGGTCATTGTTTAAAGCACTGCAGTCAAAAACAACCAACAAATGACCTTTTTATAGGAATATTCCAGGTTATTTTCCACTTAATGATCAGTACAGACAATCATTTCAGCTTGTTCCTCGGTTATAAAAACAGACCACATTTTACAATAATTCTAAATAAGCTTAATGGATTGGAAGGTTTAAAAGCATAAATGCGAAGCTCATATTGTTGTTAAATCACTAAAATGTAAATGCCTTATATGATGAAACCATTATTTGAGCTACTCTGCAAACAATTACTTATAAATCAAGACATTTACTTGAGAAGCAACATGACAAGGTAATTAAGTCATGTTTTCGGAAAAATGTATCAAAATTAAAAGTGATATTTTTATAGCGTTTGATATGTATACTTAAAACGAGAAAAAATATCAA